GCGTACGCCGCTTGTCCTGCTCCCGATTCCTGGGAGAGTACCTGTCCCTTCGATGAGGACTTGGGGTATTACCGGTCCTCTTCCTTGGATCGCTAGGAGGCCGACTAGGCCTATGGGAATCTCCAAACGGAGATCGTCTCCTAACAGGAGGACCAGGAGCACCAGGTTTCTGGGCTCTGTCCCTGGACTGAGATCGTTCGTAAAAGTCTTTGTGCATATTGACCTGATTCTTACGAACCCTCCAGCGGTCAATTTCGTTCTTGCAACGAGCACGAAGCCATTCATAGCTACAAACATCAGGGTTGGATATGTTCCTATCCCATTCCCTGATATCATGAGCCAAGCAGTTGAGGTGCCTAACCTTCTCACTGAATAGCGACCGCTTTACCTGTTCGGTCAGCGGTTCATCGAGACCCGCAAGGATGTGATCCCATTTCGCGATGAACCTTTCAAGTCGCTCCTCTTCAGTATAGAAAGATGACACACTGCATCGCAAGTTTGAGAGCTCGATTATCCTGAACGATTGCTCTCCGATATTCGCAGTCCTTAAGTGGTCGTATAAGAGCCACAGGATCTGCCTACTCTTGATGCGATTGTTGGAGCGTTGAGCGGCTTCGGTGAGACGATTAATCTTATCGATAATTGCAACAGTCTTGATGCACTTCCGAATGGCTGCATTGAACCTGGCTTCAAGGATGTGGTATTTACATTCCCCATCCAGTTCATCAAAGGTCTTTGCCTTCTCGACTTCAGTTAGCCAATTGATGACGTAAAGTCCATCATAGCTGTAGGCATTGCTAACAGCTTCCTTCATATTGGCTATCCATACCCTCAGCCCAGCCGCGTCGGGCTCTGGCGGGAGGTCTATAGGAATGCACTTAGTCGCAGCTGTACAGTTCGGATCATGGTGGCTACCGTACCCGCCGCCACCAGTTCCGAAAAGATGCTGCGGAACCTGAGAACTACCGATTGACAATGCACATACAGGACAAAGGCGAGTAGCCTTCGGAATGCAAATCTCACATGCCCTTTTCATGCATATTTTACACTCCTCAATTTTGCTGGGATCAGGAATATCCCGATCACACATCCGACATTTCTTGTCAGGAGGATCGGGGCCACGCATGGTCGGCGGCTCAAGGCCCGAAGGATCCTTCGGCCTTGTACCGTTGGGATCAAATCCTGGATAATACCCGGTTTCACGTTTATCCAGGGGCACGGATTGCGTAGCCTTCGGAGGACTCTGAAGGTTAGCCGCGTTGGGTTGACCTCCATTTGGGGTATCACGGAATCTGTCAACGGGTGGCCGCAGAGGCGGCGAGAACGACCGCGTAGGGTTCGTCTCAGGTACGCCTCCAGGCGATCTATTCCTGACACGGTTACCATCGGGATCCCTTCTTCTCCTAGTCTCGTCCCTAAGGCACGCAAGACAACAGGGACCCTGGACAAATCCAAATCTCCTGTAGTCATCCTGCCCAGCAGAATGTCTGGTGCAGTAGTAGGTCTTACAAAATTGACACTCAATTCCCTTGGTCAGGAACGAGCTCTCCCTACAGACTCCGCATCGGGGTCCGTTACGGGAACATTCTTCACACAGGTTCTCTTTAAATGAGAAACAATACTCACAAATATCACCTTTGCATCCCTTGCAGTGAAACTCAGCCACGAGATGATTATACCCATCACCTACATATTTACATCTGGGTTTACCAGGGTTGCCAGGGTTCCCACCGGCAGCACTCTTCTTCCCCCCTCCTCCTGGGCTTTGCCAGTCTGGAGGAGGAGGTGGTGGAGGATCACCATCAGGAGGGCCAGGCGGAGGTGGCCGCTTATCCGGAGTACGGGACGCGGCTCGCCTTCCTCCTGTGTGATCGTTCAGTCCACTACTTGAGGCCTGGTTCGAGTGCCTTGACTCGAGGGAATTAATTCTCTGGGCCGTATTACCCAGCACCTCGAGCATTTGCTCGAGCTTACTGTTGAGCGTAGTCGAAACGGCCATGTTATGAGTATTCTGCTTGTCCGTGTAGGACTTGCAGTCCCTTGACTTCATCTCAAGGTTGGCTTGTGTCTCATAAAGTTGGTCTTTGACCCACTTTATGCCGTCCCTATTATTGGTCCAGCATTGTTCGACATCTTGCATCATTCTATCAATCTGACATACCCTAGTGGACAGGTCCTCGATTTTGAGGTTTACTCCACCAATCGCAGGATGATTGGATTGGCTTTCCACTAGAGATCTCTCGATCATATCAACACGAGCTATAAGCCCGGTTACTCGATCAGAAAGAGATTCAAAAACAGTTTGAACTTGGGTGATGGAGCGAGCAACATCATCATAGCTGGCTCGCTCATTTAGGGCATCGCCTATGCTTATCATGCGATTGGAAACGATCTTGACGCGTTGGCCAAGCTCGGTCACGATGTCCTTAGTCCCTTGTGACAGCTGCATGGCCGCGTTCGCAGCCTGCGTACACGTGCTATTCACATGGACGCATTGGTCGTATTTGGCCCTCCACGAGTTAACCTCAGTGGAGAGCTGCTTGATGCATTGATCACTTCTATCATTCCTACGCCCAAGGTCTTCGACCTTAGCAACCAGGCGATGAATGATCGCACTTACCGAAGAGTCCACTCTCCCTCTTTCAAGGGCTGTTACAAGATCAGCAACCTCGTTGGGTTGCTCCTCACTCGCAGGACCAAATCCTGATCCGCGATCTCGAGGAGTGGACAAATCAACCATGATTGGATTAGATCTCGGAGGAGTTCTGAAATCATCCTGCACGGCCGTTGATGGCCGTGGGAACTCACTCCGATTAGGAGATTGACTCTGATACGGAGCAGATCTCCTAGCATCACGAACCGCAGAGGGTTGTGTCATGCCCAGGCCTTTGGCCACGGGCAGTTTAGGAACAACAGGCCTATCCATTCGCATAGGAACATCAGGTCTCGAGTCAGCAATAACAATGTCATTCAAGTCGGTCGCATTGGACACTCTAGACTCAGACATCGATTCAATATCAGTCGCATTACTGATGGTATGATTGCGACTAGAACTTGATGCCATCATGGATTCAGATTCTATCGGAACATTAGCTCCGTCCATGTCGTCCAGGCCGAAAATGGAAGCCGCGTAGGGCGTAGGGCGAACACCTTGTGTGTTCATGCCACTTGACCTATTAAATTCCTCCTGGAATGCTTCGATTCCATCAAGCACGTTAACGAGTGTGTCCGCGTTTAGCGGGTCTCTACCAATGATTGACGCTGGATCACCTGATCGACCGCGTCCTGAGTCCCGCGCACTGGGGTTACCCCTGTGGGCGGTTTCCCGATCCATCCCTCTTGCCCTATGCGATCCAGTCGAATTTGACCTTGATCGTTTGCTTGGGGTTGGACTGGGATGCAAATCCAATCTATCTACGATATTACGCTCCCTAGGGCTCTCAAATCCCGAAAGTCCTGGGGGAGGGGACATATTCCTCATGGTCGGGTTCACCGACGGCCTTGGCCTGACGTTGCGGCTGGCCACGTCAGGATTGAGATTCTCAATCGACAAAGGTAGCATGAATTCATCGCTTCCAGCAGCCCGTTTTGGGCTTTGGAATTGCGGGAAAGATGACGGGGCGGGGGGCCCTGGCATCCATGCGGCAAAATCCATACCAAAAATATTTCCGTCGTTGGGCCATGAGGCTCTCCAATCGAGTCCACCGGATTCGGTCGGCAGATGAACGTCAAATGCAACTCCACTGGATGTACCAGGTTCGGGATTACCGAGCACTTGAAAGGCTATGCTACTGGTTGGCACAGGTCTACTGCTACTTCGAGAGTCACGAAACTCGGACTGACCAATATTCATCAGCTCCGGGAAAGATGAGGATTGAGCTCCAGGTGCAACACCGGGCTCGTCATCATCACGTCCTGAGACGGAATCATCATGGTCAGGACGATTAGTCCCATGACCCTGAGAGCGATTAGCTCTTGAGGCATTAGACGATAGATCATCAGTGCGAGTAGCACTGGATCTCCCTGAAGGCATTGCTTCTGAAAAAGTGTGGTCCGACAAAAAGTCAGGACCGGAAAACATCGGCTGTCCGGGCACTTGGTCGTCATTCACAACGTCCAAGATTCCGGCCTGGCCGAGAACCCATTCATCAGTCACCACGTGAGGTCCATCCTCAGTGATTCCTGCCATCGTATATACAATAACCTACAGCGCCTGCAGGGTTGTTAAAAGGGGTTCGCGGTGCCAACCGAGGACGAATCCTACGGCTGATAACCTGCGAAAGGGTTTGAAACAGAGTTTCGGGATGGATAAAGCAGGCCCTAACCCACCAACAAGAAGAGACCACCTTATCCCCCCGGTCCCAAGGGCAAAGCAGTTGCCCCCGGCCGGCACTAACACGAACCAAAAGGGGTGCCTCGTTTGTAACAAGAATAAACCAGGCAGAAGCGCAGCACAGCGCAGAGCAAGCAAGCAAACCAGCGGCAAGCAGCACCAAGCGAGCAGAGCGAGCAGTAGCAGCGCACTCCAACCAAAACCCGACCCACCTCCGGGTCCAAGACCACCGCCCCAGCAACGACGGCCGCGACGTAGTGCGGCCGGCGTGAGGAGCGCCGCGGGCTCTTTCCGACGAGATGGCAGGCAAAGTCGACGAGTGAAAAGCTTGAGCCAAACGGCGCATTGGCCGTGGCGTGGAAACATGTTACGATAAAACTACATGCCCCCAAAAACAAACGGCAACCACTACCCCTGGTCCCCCAAGACCGTGGATCTTGAGACAAGCCTGACTTAGCTAAGCCTTGATGCTCTGGACTGGGTATTTGAAGCTCTGGCTCTTGAGGGTCAATGAGAGGCTGCCCCGGAACGGTCCGCCAAACCGCAGGGCTCCAAACAATGGATCCTCACATTATACACCTGAACATTGCCTTGTAAATGGTGGTTTCCCTTTATTTTGGTGGAAAAAGCCATCTTTCAAACAAACCATGGTGTGCCGCAACGCGTCCGTCTGCCAGCCGACAAAGACCGCGTTGAGTAGGATCAGCAAGGCACCTCAGTGACTCAGGCGTCCAAAGGCAGACGGAGAATGTATGGGCTCAAATGCGCACCAGGCGCTTTCAACTCTGGGGGGGGTGGGGGGGTGTTTCTGTTTTGTTAGGCACGCGCGACCAAAAACACCACTAGACCAAGCCTGTCACGCCGAATTCAGGACGATTCAACGCTTCGGGGCCTTCCACTCAAATGAGAAGGAAGGTGTCTCACATTTCATGGCAACAAATGGGTGGCCGAAAAATCCAACGTGTGGGGTTACGCAGGTTGTAGCTACCAAACTCCATTTTGGGTACCCTTTCTCCCACAAACATGGCACCTAACGCTGGGATTCCCAAGGAAAAATTGATATTCCAGGTACCTCCCCACAAACGCCCATGTTAGAGGGAGGGAGAGAGCCACTTTTTGAGCTGCAGCCCAGGCCGAGGAGCTGTAGACCTCGTAGCCCATGCTGTAGACCACCCGTTGAACCCACACGGAGGTCACCGAGTTGTCCCCCGTGCTCCTCAGCTGATTGGAAAAGCCATGAGCCGAGGAAAACCCCGTGATTCAAAACCCTGTGATGGCCATGCTACATGGGGAATTTATTGTCGACTTGCCATTTGGAAGCGTGTTGCCCATGAAAATGCATTCCCATGCTAGGCGACCATGTCCCTAACCAAACTCCGATCGCTATCTCCGAAACGCTGCCTCTCCAAAGCAAAGTTGGGATACCCCAAGCTCCGTAACGGCTCCCTCCCAACCACCAGCGTGTGGTAGCTCTTCGCAAACCAACTGAAGCGCTCTCTCTCACCACCGGAGAGCCGGCCCCCAACCCGGGCTAACTCACGACACCCAGCGATCAAATCCAGCTGAGGGCCCGGCTTGATGATCTTCTTGCGCGTCGCCATCCGCTTTGCCCTTGCAGCCACTCAACCCCTGTGAGGGTTGAAAAAAAAAAGTTGGAGGTTGCACTTCGGGCCTTTTACTCATGATGCGTTCCTTCTTAAATTGCACTTTTGTGCCATTTACCCTCGGCGAAACCAAAGGCGGCCTGTGCCAAAGTGTCAAACTCCAAAGCCAAAGTCTCAACAGTTTCACTCGGGCTCGCTCTGCCCAACTCTGGAAGCCCCGTGTGTAAAATCCTCTCTCGTCGCAAAAGAGATGCACCCTTCCTCTCACCAACACGGCGGTGGCTCAAAATTATACAGGAGGGGCAAACCGCGGGTTTTGGTCCATGTTTCCACTTACCAGGGTTCCGATTGGGTACCGGATTCTTGAGCCACAGCCACATCGCACCTGTTGGAGCATACCTGGAAGATGAATTTCCTCTTTAAGGGGCACCCTGTCGGGTGCCATACCGGGAGGAAGCGTAACCAAACAACAACTTCCAAACAAACAACAAAACCTTGAAGGTTCTCCAACGTGCGCTCGTCGGCTTCAAGCCAAGCATCTTCGCCCACGAGGAGCCCGAGTTCCTCGGCCCGCAAGTCCCGTTGGGAGTGGAAGCTGCTTCCCCGAAGTCAGATCTGGCGAAACGACATTGGCCGATTTCTCTTGGAAGCCCAACTAGGTCCTCCAGTAGAGAGGTTAGAATAAGGGTACCAACCTTTTTTTTCGTAGTCGATTTTATTGGGGGAACCCTCCCCCCAAACAAAAGGGTTAAAGGGCGCTACTGGGGGACCTAGACAATTCTGGAATCCCTGAATTGCAGGGAACTCGCGCCACCGTGAGATTCCATAAAACAAAGACCTTCCATCCCCAAAGCAGCGCACATCGATGCCGGGTACCCCGGCCGAGCATTTTCCTTGGAGTCTTGGGACGAGACCTCAGCGGTCCAACCCGCACCGCAAAACCCAAAACCGCCGACCAGCAGAATTTCATACTGTGGATGGTTGTGAAGTCCATTTTTCACAGGGGAATCATCAGGTGGTGCAGGAGTTCGTCCATCCACAATAGGGACGCCCCAAGGTTTGCGGGAACCATTCTGCTGGCCTTATGAACCTGTCTGGGGACTCCTGAAAATTACTTTTGGTCGGGAGTGGGGGGGTTCCCTTTAAGCCACCATTTTGCTCGGGTGATTTGGAATCTCAAACGGGCCCAATGACCAACACGCTTCGGGTCTCCCCCAATGGTGGGCGGGATACCATGGCCGTGGGCAAATCTTCAAGAAGTTGGTGAACCCCACTGGTAAATTATCTGAATTAAACTGAGACCAGAGGAGCCTACATATACATATACATATACATGTGTATATACATATATATATATATGTATGTATGTATATTTAGATATATATATATAAGTATATATGTATGTGTAACATACATATATATATATGTATATATTGTTTATTCGGAGCTGACACGGGCTTTTGGAAGACTACTTTCCCTTCCGGGGAGCCCCTGTCCACTTCGAGGTTTGTTGGAAAAGGACATTTGAACAACACCTTGACCCGGAGTTTCGGGCGACTGCCAAGAATCTAACCAACCCCCCAAGAAGATTTGCGACGCGGGACATCCAAAGTGCTTCTTAGCGGAAAACCCGGGGACGCCTTTGAAGACAAGAAGGCGTTGCTTTCTTCCCCCAGATTACCCTGAGTCCAGGTTCTCCAGTAGAGGGGTTAGAATAAGGGTACCCACTTTTTCCGTAGTCGAGTTTTAGCAGGGGAACCTTCCCACCAAAAAAGAAACGGTGAGAAAGGGCACCGATCGCTGGTGGACGTAGGAGATGCGGCTCCTAAGGCAACCGCTCGGCTCCCTCGGCCTTGCGTTTCTCGCAACCCCCAGCTTCCCGACTCATCAAATCCACGCGGCCGCTGAGGTGGAAGAGCACTCCGACACCATCTGCCAAGCCACGCGACAGAAGCGGCGGTTAGTGTTTTTCTGGTGGGCTTTGGGAACGGGAGGATCCATGCAACCGCTTGGTTGCGGTAACGACCCCCCTGCACAAAGTTCAACTTTTGGGGGGGTTAGTGGAAAGCCCCTTGATGTCCCAATAAGTTAAAGTCTAAAGATCCAACCCAATAGCAGTAAAGACTGGAATGACCACCCGGCATTCAGCGAGGGCTCCAACAGAAGTGGACAAGTCTACAACTAGCCTGCTTCACAGCGTCCATGACTGTTTGGCCAGGGAAGATGGCTGCCCTTCACGGGGATCATTTGTCACCACTAAGAGTCATTGTCTAAATCAAGTGCCTCCCGTGGCTCCCCCACCCACCAAGAAAGAAAGCAAGCGATAGCCCAGATCTGTTGGGGGTGGCATGGCAAAACATGAAACACGTGTGCGTTGATACACTGCAATGTCCCCAGCCGCAACCTGCACATATATACAAGGATGGCGCTGGCATCAGCATTCCAACATGGGATCGCAAAACCGCCCCTTCCCCGGCTGTGCAGAGTCGCGCAAGCACAGCCACGTTGCACCCGTTAAAACACCGACGTCGATATCTCTGAAAACATCGCCCCCCAAAGAAGGTTGTGAAGAGGTCAGCAAAATTCAGCAAATCTGGCGGCCACGAGGATTTGGTTCGGAGTGCTGTCTCTTGAGCCTTGTCAGCCCGGCTTCGATCGGTAGCAAGTCAGAGATGGCACATCCTTCAACCTGCAGTGCTTTAAAAGACCTTGGCAGTGCAGGGAAGCCAAATGCTTGATTAAGTCCAATGGGGAACAAAAGCAACTGGTGAGAGATTCCGAGTACAACCAACAGCAGAACATCAGCACGTGGAGGAAAACCGTCATAGGTTTTTCACGTTTGGGGACAAACCCATAGGTCTGCGCCCGCAAGCCCTGCCTCCTGCTTCCATGACTCCTCAGCTTCCACTGCTCCTAAGGCGTGGCTTCTTGTGCTGGCGTGCCCCCATGAGGGGATCCTAGACCTCTAACAAATGGGCCCCTTGCGGATGCCACATAGGGAACCTGCGAAAAACGTGGCTGAGACTGGCGATTCTCACAGAAGTCAGTCCCCGTCCGAAACTCTTGGCATGAAGCGTGTTCTTTTTTGCGGACCACTTTCTCCCCCCCTCTGCCGCGCCCCTCCCGTCGAGCACAGGCCGGTGCAAAATTGCATCGGCCCGTGAAAACGTGGAAGCCCGGATGCCCGGAAAGTGCTCCAACGGCAGGCGTCATAAACCCCATCTGCACATTCAAATCATAACGGCCTGCCGTTTGGACACATGTGTGAATCCAATCACTGGAAAATTCGAATCAAACTGAGAACCTATCGATGTGGGGGGGGGGGGTCCTAACTACGGGCCCGCCAAAAAGAGTGAGGCCCTCTAAACCAGCTTCGGATTTTTTAGACCTTTCCCAACCCCCCCGTCCCCCCCTCCCCACCCCTCCACCCCCCCGCCCCCCCCCCCCCCCGCCGCCGCCTGACCCAAAGGTGAAACCGCGCTCCTGGCAGCCGCTCTTCTCCGAAGGCCATCTTCGGGGGCATGAGCTGCGGGGGCCCCGCATCCTCCGCCGCCTCCCCCGCTTCTTTGTTTCCCCGATGCCGCGAATTTGTGTTTTTCGGTCCCCCAAGGCCAAAAAAAAAAAAAACGAGGAGGAGGGGGGAAAAACATCCTAAAAAAATAACCCCTCCCCATAAACTTCAGTTGGGGACCCTTGGGTGGGACTGAGGCAGTCATGTCCACCCGCCAAATTGTGAAGCGCGTGAAAATTCATGGAGTGAAATGCCCTCGCACCCATTTTCTCGTGGAACCTGAAAGAAATTCCATTTACAAGGAGAATGGTCTTCCAGGACCCCCGGAACGTCAGGTTCCATGTTGATCGGTGGGAGGGTAGGTTCCAAAGAGACAGGCCAGCCCTTCCCTCATCAAAATTTCGCGTCTGGGGCGCATCGGCCAACTGCCTCAAGGGATTTGAGCTCGTCCCCGAGTTTGGTGCAACGGGTGTGTCTCCAAATAGGGTGACCAGCTTGAAATCCGCGGTTTCCCTTTGTATTTCCCTTTAAAACGATACAAGAAACTCCGCATCCTCGCGCAGGCTACCCAGCATAGAAATGCCGCGTAACGTTCCAACTCGGTGCTGGCGCTTTTCTGTCGCCCACGCTACTGCTATGGTGAAGGATGACCAGGTTTGGCTACCAGTGTGGACGAAGGGGCGCCCAGACAACAAACCTGGAACTTGGAATCATGTGCAAGCTGCTCGCACGTAGTGACGTTAGGCACCTTGCTGCCACCTGTTCAAAGCTTTGGAAAAGACCCAGCACTTGCGAGCCAAGAGCAATGAGGTTTTTTCAACTACTTGTTGCAGGTGATGGCAAAGCAGACTCAGACTCAAACGACCTCTTCAAGGCGCGGAATTCAAGGTGACACTCCTCCCCTTTCACCTGGCTCGAGCCCGAAAAATCTGCCTGCAGAGGTCCCCACAGAGCATTTACCTGATGTTACAGGTGACACTGATGCCTCTTCGAGTTCCTCAGTGATCGTCTAGACCGTGGGGAATGTGGCACCGTTGTAGTGCGATACCGACCGATTTTGGTGGCATGTGGAGGCTTCGCTGCCAGGTCATCAGGCAAAGCATCCAGAAAACGGCGAGGCAGTCCGCGCCGAGTGTTACTGGAGCGAAGTGGCTGAAAATCGGCTGGCCAGCCTTGCCAATAAGCCTATGGTTGATTTTCCCTCCCCCCCCCAAAAAAAGAAGAAAAAGGGGGGAGAGGTCCCTTTGAGACACACCCATATAGTGAACAACCCAACCGGAACAAATAGCACACGTGCGATCTCCCACGAATGTGGGTGGGCCGCAACGGGGGGTCGTTTGTTGGTTTTCACTATGCCGGATTTTGTATACATGACCGTGGGTCAAAAGCCCGTACCCCGAGTGAACATCCCAATCCCCACCAAAATAGACTAAAATGGGTGCACCTACCCCAACATGGCACCATTGGCCACCTCACATCGCCGGCACCCAAAATCGGCCTTGCCAAAAAGTGACGACGTTCTCAAGTCCAGCAACTCCGGGCGTAAGATCGACACGCAACATCCATACAAATAGGGGCTTTGGCAACAAACTCTCAAGGAATTCCAACAACAACAAAAAGGCGCCCAAGCAAAACCGAGAGATTCTTCGACCGCCCATATCACTTTTTTTTAGAAAAGAAGAAGAAAAAAAACAAGGAAAAAAGAGATATTTGTTGAGCGCCCAGAGCTCGCCTCCTTTCATTCCAAAGGCCCCGAAAGGCCGCCCTGCCTTGGAGCTGGCAGAGATCCGGGTCAGCAAGGTGGTCTTTGGTGGGCTCTCGTCCCTGCGAAAAACGCCAGACTTGGCCCCCAACCCGAAGCCCGTGAAACCCCCATCATTTCCAAGCTATCCCTTTGGGACATGGACCCCGTTTTTTTTTTTGGGGGGGGGGTTGCTCCTTTGTTTTTGGGGGGAGGGGGGGGCCGTCTGTATAAATAAATTTCCAGGGGCGAGCTGAAAAAGTTTGGGAAACCAACACCCGAGCCTGAAAAAGAACGCAACACAGAACCAAAACAATCTGGAAGGCATCTCACCTGTGAGTTTCACTCAGGCTGCGGAAGCCATCAATTTGCTTTGCGGACACGGTCGTGGATGGGTCGCTGCAGCAAGCTGTGCCTTGGGGACGTAGCAGCGCGTTAAAAAAAAAAAAACGGAACACTTTAACCTGAGCGTGCGGGTTTTCCCATGAACATATGCATCTGGAAGCTAAACAACTGGAAGGATGCGCATCTGCATCTGGAACAAAAGGGGGTCGAGAAGGAAGAACTCAAGAAAGCCGAAAACACAGGCCCATTGGGGGCGTCCAGGATCTGAGACATGGGTCTGAACTTGGTGGTGGTGGTGTTTGGTGTTGTTCTTTGTTTTTCCGAGGTCTCGGTCAGGTCGATTCTGGTGGCCGGATTGGTTTTGATGCTTGTCGTTGCTTGCCTTTCTTTTTGGGGCGATGTGGGCACGCTGCATCCGTTTCCAGGGCACAGGACAAGGACCCTTTGGAGTCCAGGAAGAAAAGTGCGAACAACCTCGCAAAACAAAACAAAAATCAGCCCCAGGGGGTGCAGGGGGGTCCAGGATCTGGGACATCGGTTTGCTTTGTGCTTGTGGTTTTCTCAAGCTTGTTGCAGCATTGCATGTTCCCCTTTCAGGCCTGTGTGCAAGAGCTTCTGTGTTCAAGTGCACTCGTGTAGTTTACATCCAAGCCTTGCACAGTATTGAATGTTAACTATCTAAATTTGTAAAGAAGAATGTGCTGGAAAGGAAATCCAGTGCAAATGCAAATTGTGGCTGATTAAACATCCAACTTTAGAATGAAATTATGGTTGGAGTCGTTCCTTCTTAAAATACTGTTGATGCCAATCAGAAATTGGGTAGAATGTGATAGAGATTTCGGTAGAATTCATAAGGAATGAAATCAGGAAACATTTCAAAGACCATTTCTCGCCAACCAGGGCCCCATTAAGTGTCAACGATCCCACAAAACCAAGCATCCGAACCGTCCGCACTGAGGTACTGCTTACGTGCCTCCATTCTCCACCCAAAATTGGTGCTTATGATTGGCTTATTCAGGAGTTAAACAGGGTACATACCGACATCCTGAGCGATGGGTATGTCAATTCAGCATGTGCAAGTAGGATTTATTGGTCCTAGGCGCCTTGGAAAGAAAGCAAATCAGCAATAGAGCATCTAAAACCAGGACCTTACGCCAAACTGAGCCAGGACATCTATTCAAAGGCCGTTCCTTTCCGTCGATCTCCCACCTGATTTTGCGCTGCAAGCGCTGAAAGACCTGCTCTAGCTCCTGCGTGTGTTTCCTGGGACGGCGAAGGAGTTGCAATGCCGCCAGTGCCATGTGCAATGTACATGATGGTGTTACGCATATGCGTCTGCGTTCAAAAGGTGCTATGTGTCTGCATGCACTCAACAGACATCTTTCTAGATGTGCGTGATTGTATAAATATGTATAGATAGATAGAGATATGTCTCTGTGTGTGCGTTCTATTGCGAATAATTCAACATATACCTAATGAAACCTAGTGCAATTTAATGCGTGCATGCCTGCATCGCTACACGTACTTGTGTGCATTTTGATGTGTGGTTGCTTCTTGGTTGCATTGTGACTTGATTTGTGTGTGGGTGTCTTGTGCTGTTGGTTGTTCGTTCGTTTGTTGGGGTGTGTGTCTCTGTGGATATTTGTTCGTGTGTTTGTTTGTTTGTTTGTTTGTTTGATAGATAGATAGATAGATTGATTGATTGATTGATTGATTGATTGGTTGATTGATTGATTGATTGATTGATTGATTGATTGATTGATTGGTTGGTTGCTTGCTTGCGTGCTTGCTTGGTTGGTTGATTGACTCTTGCTTGCTTGCTTGTGTTTGCTTGTATGTGTGCTTGTGTGTTTGCTTTTGCTTGCTTGTGTTTTGCTTGTGTTTTGCTTTTGTGTGTGTGTGCGCGGTTGTGTTGTGTGATTGTCTGTTTCTTTGTTTGCTCGTGTTTGTGGTGTTTGTATTTGCGTTTGTGTTTTGGATTGTGTTTATGTTTGAGTTTGTTGCTTAGTTAGCTAGCTAGCTGTTTTGCCTCTGTTGCCTTCCGCTTGCCTGCCACCCTGCCTGCTTGCCTGCTTTCTTGCTGTGTGTGTGTTTGCTTGGTGATGTCTCTATATTGCTGCGCTTGCTTTCGTATGCGCAGGTTGCTAGGTTGCTAGGTCGGTGGGGTAGGTACGCATGAGCGTGTGAACCGCGCCGAAGGCCTCCCCAAGGCTATAGGCATGTCCGGCTCCCAGCCCCCAGTCGCCTGTTTTGGAGTACTCGACCTTTGCACCCAATCTGCGAACCGACGATCGAGCTCAGCTGCGCGCCCGACCCAAAAAAAACGAGCTGCACTGACTAGCAGGGCTGTGGGGAATGGAATCCACTTCTGTGATACAACAGACTTCGGGCTTCCCCAAGACTACTTTCTGTTCTTTTTTCTAAAGAAACGGATTTCTCAAAGTATCACGGAAGTGGGTGGAGAAAAAAAAACGAGTGATCAACCACAACCCTGGGCTGAGAACCACGCTGAGCCAGCGCTGCCACTTCCTCTGCGGCCTCCTCCATAACTCCCCGAGGCATGGCTCCCACTTCCACCGCTTTTTGCAGCTGTCCCTTCAGAAGAAAAAAACGGCCTGGCAACATAAATAAACATGTATGCATATATGTATATATATATATACATGTATGCATATATATATATAACTATATATATCTGTCTTGTTTTACATGCGAGTGTATCTATGCAGTGATATAAACTTCTATATATCTATGTATATATATATATTGTGTATGTGTGCGGCGGAACTTTGTTCACCCGCCCAACTTTTGACATTTGGTTCTATGGCGTGTCTTGCCCAGTGCAGGTTCTGGAGCCAAACAAACACGCGCCAGAGAAATTCGCCAGCATGGCCGCACCGACGGAGGGATTTGGGGGGTCTTGTCGTGCGCAATAGGCCGAAAAAGAAGTACCGAGCCTCTAGAAAGACACACCCTTTCCGAGCTTAAGCAACTTTGAGGACCTTCATTAAAGATTTCAAGCAGGCCTCCAGAAAAACCTTGCTGCACCTGGTTGATGTCCCAATGAATGTTCACGTTGTTTCTCACATGCGAATCCCGAGACCGCGGCTCGTCTCCTTTTTTGGGGGTCAGGATTCAAATCCCGCACTGACGTAACGCACGGGCCCACATGAAGAAACAGTACCACCATGTTGACAACCCATAACACATCACAACGCGTGTAGTCTTGGACCCGCGGATGAATAAACTCGTCTTAGACAAAAGACGGTTTCCCCTCCCTAACCCCAAGCCCAAGACCCATCAATCAGCCGGGCTTTGATGCGTCATCACGGAGCTCCAAGCCCCGGCCGGTGTTTGTTTCTCCTTTTTTTTGGTGCGGCATCGTTTCATAAAACCGCTCGACGTGTCACATAGGCGAGCGGTCGCGCTAGCCGGAGCTCTCACTCTCAGCCCCATCACCTGCGATGCTCCTCTGGGGGTTGATCTATATGGCCCCAAATGACCATAGGTAAGTTGCCCATGTGGGAAATATCATCTCTGCTGTGGTTTTGTGGTTTGCTCCAAAGGACCTGCCTAGTTAAGGGAAACCAAACAAACAAGGCAACCATCGCTAGAGGAGTCTCTAACCAGCCTCGGGCCAAAAGGACGGCACAAACTCACTCAATGAAGCGTTGGCTTGGGGCTGGGGAGCCAGCCTGCATCTTCCCGAACAAGTAGGCCATGCGGCAAATTTGGGACTTCAAAGCGGCTAGAGGCTGTGCCGACACTTTCTGAGTGACCGAGGGCCAGGGCCAGCGGGACAACCCTACGGCACAGGAAGCAAACCTTCCTTTCATGCTTTCGGACTGTCAGGCTGGCGTTTTGAAAAGCGAACTGTGCCAAGTGATGAGACCCAAGCTGAAACCAGTTCCGTCTAGTTTCAACCAAGCTGACGACAGGACACCCGTGGCTTGTCTCGAGAGAAGGCCCCAGAAACGCACACCCCGGGCCTGCTGGCTTCTCCTGGCAGCACGCCGAACTCAGATTGCCCGGTGCTGAGGCTTGGCCTTTTAGGCGTGTTGACGAGGGGCTGGTTTAGGTGGGCTTGCCGGTAGTAAAATAGTCTACTCCGGAACCACGTGAAGAATTGGGAAGGCGGCCGCTATGAATGGTTGGGATTGTCCCTTACTAAGCCTTCCTCTCCCCGGCTTCCGATTGTGGCTCATCTTAGCTCGGCTTACGGCGAAGGCTCCACGAAGCTGCCTTAATTGCCACCCAGACGGTTTTCCCCCCACGCCCACCATCCAGCGAAGCCGGCCTCCACGTCCATCTCACCTGGGGGCAACTCTCTCCGATCTCTGAGGGCAACATGGAACCCATGAAAACAGCACCATGTGCAGCAATTGTGCAGAAGGAACCTCTACTAGGTCCTCCAGTCGAGAGCTTAGAATAGGTTGGTACCCCCTTTTTTGTCTGAATCGTCTATTTTAGGGCGGAGACCCCTCCGCCAAAAAAGGGTAAGAAAGGGCTCTACTGGGGGACCTAGGCTATTTGGGGGACTTGTCCGTAAATCAGGACAAGTAGGTTGTGCCCGGATTTTCCGAGCTGTGTGGGAAAGGCAAGTGGACGGGTCGACAGGCCACAGAAGAATGAGGTTCAAAGCATCCAGATCGGGGGTCTGCAACTGGAACGAACGTAGTTGGGATCCTATACCAATTCTTCAGGAAGGTTTCAAACGCATGCACCCTGCAGAGACAAACACGCCACCGGACGCCACCACCCACCCACGCCCTTGTGGTTGTCCAAATGGCCGCTGTTTGGATGGTGCTGCCACCTTTTGAAGGGAATACCGCCTTCGCCAGTTTTGCCAACCCCGCCGCTGCCCCGCACAGTTCCTGGC